ATAGACTGGCTGAATGGATACAAAAACAAGACCCATATATACGCTGTCTACAAGAGAACCACTTCAGACCTAGGGACACATAGAGTTGAAAGTGAGGGGATGGAAAAAGATATTCCATACAAACAGAAATCATAAGAAAGCTGGAGTAGCAATTCTCATATAAAGCAGAATAGACTTTAAAATAAAGACTATTACAAGAGACAAAGAAGGACATTACATAATGATCATGGGACCAAACCAAGAAGATATAACAGTTGTAAATATTTATGCACCCAACATAGGAGCACCTCAATACATAAGGTAAATGCTAACAGCCATAAAAGGGGAAATCAACAGTAACACAATCATAGAAGGGGAGTTTAACACCCCATTTTCACCAATGGACTGATCATCCAAAATGAAAATAAATAAGGAGACACAAGCTTTAAATGATAAATTAAATAAGATGGACTTAATTGATATTTATAGGACATTCCATCCAAACACAACAGAATACACTTTCTTCTCAAGTGCTCATGGAACATTCTTCAGGATAGATCATATCTTGTGTCACAAGTCAAGCCTTGGTAAATTTAAGAAAATTGAAATTTTATCTAGTATACTTTCTGACCACAATGCTACGAGACCAGATATCAATTACAGAAAAAAATATGTAAAAAATACAAACACATGGAGGCTAACCAATACACTACAAAATAATCAAGAGATCACTGAAGAAATCAAAGAGGATATCAAAAAATACTTAGAAACAAATGACAATGAAAACATGATGACCCAAAACCTATGGGATGCAGCAAAAGCAGTTCTAAGCAGAAAGTTTATAGCAATACAATCCTACCTTAAGAAACAAGAAACATCTCAAATAAACAATCTAACCTACACTGAAAGCAATTAGAGAAAGAAGAATAAACAAAATCCAATGTTAGCCGAAGGAAAGAAATCAGAAAGATCAGATCAGAAATAAATGAAAAGGAAATGAAGGAAATGATAGCAAAGATCAATAAAACTAAAAGCTGATTCTTTGAGAAGATAAACAAAGTTGATAAACCATTAGCCAGACTCATCAAGAAAAAAAGAGAGAAGACACAAATCAACAGAGTTAGAAATGAAAATTAAGAAGTAACAACTGACACTGCAGAAATATAAAGGGTCATGAGAGATTACTACAAGCAACCATATGCCAATAAAATGGAGGACCTGGAAGAAATGGACAAATTCTTAGAAAAGCACAACTTTCTGAGACAGAACCAGGAAGAAATAGAAAATATAAACAGACCATTCAGAAGCACTGAAATTAAAACTGTGATTAAAAATCATCGAACAGGGCTTCCCTGGTGGCGCAGTGGTTGAGAGTCTGCCTGCTAATGCAGGGGACACAGGTTCGTGCCCTGGTCCGGGAAGATCCCACATGCTGCGGAGCAGCTGGGCCCGTGAGCCATGGCCACTGAGCCTGCGCGTCTGGAGCCTGTGCTCTGCAACGAGAGAGGCCACAACAGTGAGAGGCCTGCGTACCGCAAAAAAAAAAAAAAAAATCATCAAACAAGAAAAGCCCAGGACCAGATGGCTTCACAGGTGAATTCTATGAAACATTTAGAGAAGAGCTAACACCTATCCTTCTCAAACTCTTCCAAAATATAGCAAAGGGAGGAACAATCCAAACCTCATTCTACAAGGCTACTATCACCCTGCTACCAAATCAGACAAAGTTGTCACAAAAAAAGGAAACTACAGACCAATATCACTGATGAACATAGATGCAAAAATCCTCAACAAAATACAGGCAAACAGAATCCAGCAGCACATTAAAAGGATCACACACCATCATCAAGTGGGGTTTATCCCAGGAATGCAAGGATTCTTCAATACAGGCAAATCAATCAATGTGATACACAATATTAACAAATTGAAGGAGAAAAACCATATGATCCTCTGAATAGATGCAGAAAAAGCTTTCAACAAATTCAACACCCATTTATGATAAAAACCCTACAGAAAGCAGGGATAGAGGGAAATTACCTCAACATAATAAAGGCCATATATGACCAACTCACAGCCAACACCATTCTCAATGGTGAAAAACTGAAACCATTTCCACTAAGATCCGGAGCAAGACAAGGTTGCCCACTCTCACCATTATCATTCACATAGCTTTAGAAGTTTTAGGCACAGCAGAGAAGAAAAAGAAATAAGAGGAATCCAAAATGGAAAAGAAGAAATAAAACTGTCACTGTTTTCAGATGATACTATACATGATACTATACATAGAGAAGCCTAAAGATGCTACCAAAAGACTACTAGAGCTAATCAATGAATTTGGTAAAGTAGCAGGCTACAAAATTAATGCAGAGAAGTCTCTTTCACTCCTCTACACTAATGATGAAAAATCTGGAAGAGAAATTAAGGAAAGACTCTCATTTTCCATTGCAACAAAAAGAATAAAATACCTAGGAATAAACCTACTTAAGGAGACAAAATACCTGTATACAGAAAGCTATAAGACACTGATGAAAGAAATTAAAGATGATACAAACTGATGGAGAGATATACCATGTTCTTGAATTGGAAGAATCAACACTATGAAAATGACTATACTACCTAAAGCAATCTACAGATTCAATGCAATCCCTATCAAACTACCAATGGCATTTTTCACAGAACTAGAACAAAAAATTTCACAATTTGTATGGAAACACAAAGATCCCGAATAGCCAAAGCAAATTTGAGAAAGAAAAACGGAACTGAAGGAATCAAGCTCCCTTACTTCAGATTTTACTACAAAGCTACATTAATCAAGACAGTATGGTACTCGTGCAAAAACAGAAATAGAGATCAGTGGAACAGGATAGAAAGCCCAGAGATAAACCCACACACATATGGTCACCTTATCTTTGATAAAGGAGGAATAAATATACAATGGAGAAAAGACAGCCTCTTCAATAAGTGGTGCTGGGAAAACTGGACAGCTACATGAAAAAGAATGAAATTAGAATACTCCCTACCACCATACACAAAAATAAACTCAAAACGGATTAAAGACCTAAATGTAAGGCCAGACACTATAAAACTCTTAGAGGAAAATATAGACAGAACACTCTATGACAGAAATCACAGCAAGATCCTTTTGACCCACCTCCTAGAGAAGCAGAAATAAAAACAAAAATAAACAAATTGGACCTAATGAAACTTAAAAGCTCTTGCACAGCAAAGGAAACTATAACCAAGATGAAAAGACAACCCTCAGAATGGGAGAAAATATTTGTAAATGAAGCAACTGACAAAGGATTAATCTCCAAAATATACAAGCAGCTTATGCAGCTCAATAACAAAAAAAACAAAAAACCCAATCAAAACATGGGCAGAAGACCTAAATAGACATTTCTCCAAAGAAGATATACAGATTGCCAACAAACACATGAAAGGATGCTCAACATCACTAATCATTAGAGAAATGCCAATCAAAACTACAATAAGGTGTCGCCTCACGCTGGTCAGAATGGCCATCATCAAAAAGTCTGCAAACAAGAAATGCTGGAGAGGCTGTGGAGTAAAGGGAACCCTCTTCCACTGTTGGTGGCAATATAAATTGATACAGCCACTATAGAGAACACTAGTGAGGTTCCTTAAAAAACTAAAAATAGAACTACCATACAACCCAGGAATCCCAGTACTGGGCATATAGCCTGAGAAAACCATAATTGAAAAAGAGTCATGTACCCCAATGTTCATTGCAGCTCTATTTACAATAGCCAGGACATGGAAGCACCCTAAGTGTCCATAGACAGATGAATGGATAAAGAAGATGTGGCACATATATACGATGGAATATTACTGAGCCATAAAAAGAAACGAAATTGAGTTATTTGTCATGAGGTGGATGGACCTAGTGACTGTCATACAGAGTGAAGTAAGTCAGAAAAAGAAAAACAAATACCATATGCTGACACATATTTGGAATCTAAAAACAAACAAAAAAAAATTGGTTCTGAAGAACCCAGGGGCATAACAGGAATAAAGATGCAGAAGTAGAGAGTGGATTTGAGGACACGGGGGAGGGGGGGAAAGGCAAGCTGGGATGAAGTGATAGAGTGGCATGGACATATATACAGTACCAAATGTAAAATAGATAGCTAGTGAGAAGCAGCCACATAGCACAGGGAGATCAGCTCAGGGCTCTGTGTCCACCTAGAAGGGTGGGATAGGGAGGGTGAAAGGGAGACGCAAGAGGGAGGAGATATGGGGATATGTGTATACGTATAGCTAATTCACTTTGTTATACAGCAGAAATTAACACACCATTGTAAAGCAATTATACTCCAATAAAGATGTTAAAATAAATAAAGAAATTGGTAAGTCATATGCTACAATGAAAACTAAAAAAAAAAAAAAAAAATAGAGCCAGATAAGAGAAATCTGTTGCTTCTGGTGTAGGAGGATTGGACATTAAATAGGATGACCAACTTTCCAATAGTTATGGTTCTTGGTCACATTGAAACTTCTCTCTAGTCTATGAGAAAGAAGTTGTATCTCTCTGATCTCTCTGTAATAGTCTTAAATTATTAGGATTAATGAAACAATTTCTATGGCCCTGGATTAAAGTGCAATCTCTAGAGTTCCTAGGGAGCCACCAACTCTCTAACACTGGAATTGACATAAAGATAACTTGGGTCCAGACACACATTGTCTTATTTTAGCTGCTTTTGAGAAATGGAAGTAGGTAATACATCCCATATATTATATATTGTATATATATGTATGTGTATGTTTCCATATGTACATATATATGTGTATATATATGTATGTATGTATGTGTGTGTATATATATATATATATATATATATATATATATTTTAACCCTGGGTGGGAGAGAAGGCAAATGGTGGAATTGGGATTTTATAATCTCTTAAACCTCAGGTTTATTGATTTCTTCCTATAACATATAAGGAGATAAAAGGGTATTATACTATATTTTCAAGTAATATTGCTCTCAAAAAGACACCCACCTTTCCTCCATCAGCATTATACTCTTTTTCATCACCTTCCAAGAGCCTGGCTAGTCCAAAATCCGTGATTTTTACATGGTTTGGAGATTTCACTAAGACATTACGGGCTGCCAAATCCCGATGAACAAGCCGTCTTTCTTCCAGGTACATCATTCCCTGAAAAACACCAAATTCCCCAGAGAGTCAGTTAATGCCTATGCTCTTGTATTGTCAAAAAAGGTGTTTCCTAGCGTTCAGTTGCAAGTGCTTGATTTCTCTAAGTAATGGCAGAATCTGAGAATATTTTCAAAATTATGGAAAATGTGGAATTAAAAAAGCAAACCACAAATAGCTTTTGGCCTTCTTCCCACTAAAGCTCTGTAAAGCAGAATGAATTACCTGCATATGAGCTAAATGTTTGATCATTTTTTCCCAGATACTTTATATTCTTTTGCAAACACTTTCGTTAGTGAGGTATGCACGTGTCTTAGTAGATAAGCTAACAGGTACTTGGACTGACCCACATATTCTTAATTGTTTTCTCCTCAATAACTTCTGTTTCATGTCATTTTCCCCCATACACCCGCTCCAAACAAATGCCGCTCTCCATACTTTTCAGAAGTATTTCATATGAAAGTTTAATGGAGGCAAATTCACCTTTATAGGTTCTATCAAGTCTGAAGAATCATATTATTCTTATTAATTATGCAAAAAAATGAAGTTTGCCCTAGGGGTATTAAAAGCCTATAATTTAAAAAATAGCTTTGATGACATTAGTAGTCATTATGAAAATCCACAAGTAAAATTACATTATTTATAATGACCCTTAAGTTAGCCTTTAATATGTTTTCTTCATAAAACATATACTGTAATTAAAAACAAAACATTGCTGATCACCAACAAGAGATAAACTGGCTCTTCCCTCAACATACACACACACATCTACATGTATATGTACATATACACATGTATATATATGTGTTATATGTGTACACAACATATATATTAAAATATATATAAAAATAATCCATAGAAACAATAATTATTAATTGTATTTCATCAATAGAGAAACCAAGAGTCATGAACCACTAGCCTTAACTACAAGGTTGATGTAAAACCAAGGAAATGAACCCAGAGGCCCAGATTAGAATGAACATCCTTTGTTTGAGTGAACATATGTTTTGTTGAAGAGTTAGGGAAAATTCTATATTTGAGGATTTCAGTGGTAAAAACAAGTCAGAAGTGTTATAAAATGGTTGAAGTATGCTCTCATGCCCATTGCAAATCAGTGATGCTGGCAGTTAACATTACAACTGCAGGACTTTGAAGGATTAACGGTTTCTGATATCAAAACAAAAGCTGTGGTAAACAGAGACATAAATCACAGAGGTCAAAAAATTATGAACTGTCTACAGGTGTAGTGGAAAGAGAATATTGCTTCAAACAGCATCATGAGCCAAGCACTATATAAATGCCCATTAAACACAACCAGTGGAGATACTGCCTGATATGGTGCAATCAGTCAGCAGTTAGGTGACATCATATGTATTAGTGTTTTCTGATATCAACCCACAACCGGGATTTATGGGGTTCTTTCCCTCTTTCCTAAACAGTGCTTTGTCTTTGATTACGCCAAATTGGAAGTTTTTAGAATAAAGTGAAAACAAATAGCCCTTGCATGCTTTAAAAGATTAAAAAATAGACTTATTGCCTTGGAGGTAAAGTATGTTCAATAATTTTGTCCCTGTAGGAAGTGTCCACAAAAAACAGTCACCATTCTCTTTCTTACCATCTTCATAACAGAATATGTAAAGAGTATTGGCAACAAATTAATATTCAGATCCACACATACTTACAGAACACATACTGTATGCCAATCACTGTGCTAGACATCAGAAAGACAGAATAGAGTGAGAGAAGGTCTGTGCATTAAAGGAGGACAGAAACTCATTAGTAAAGTGGGCACATATGGAGTATAAACTTGAATGGATCAGTGATGCATGCAAGGCATTTAAGGAGGACCATCTGTAGTATAGCTTAGCAAGTATGCATGAGAGGGGAGGCTTCAGAGAGGTACTAAGGCCTAAGTATGGTTTGAAGGATGGATGTCCACCAGTTGGACAAGATGAGGGAAAAATTGCAGTTAGAGAGGACAAGCACAGGGTCATCAATAGCATAGTGTACTTGGACAAAGGTATATAATTCTGTATTTCTGAAGCATTATGTATATGGTGAGTGGTGAGCCTGAAAAGGTAAGAAGAGGCTAGATCCAAGAGGGGCCCCTTATATGTCATGATAGAGAACTTGAACTTCACATTTTATGCAGCATTCAATGTGGTGATGCGGGAGTTCTTTTAAAATGGAGAGTGACACAATTATCATTAGAGCCTTGAAAACATCACCAGCTGCCAGTAGAGAGGATGGATTGCACACAAATACAGCTAAAGTCAGGAGTCTGCCACATTACAGAAGAAAAGTGATGAGAGTGGAATAAAGGTTGTAAATTGACCATCCATGAGTTGTATCCATTTTTCCCTTTTTTTTGTTCCCACACTGAGAAAGTTTCAAACATCCTCTTCAGTTGGTTGCTGGCTATACTCCATTAAAGGCATCTGGTCCCCAGTTTGCCAGGGTCCTACCACTTACTATCACTTTTCAGGAATTCTGCTTTTATTATTTATGGTAATCATCCAGCTCCTACATGCATGAATGTCTGAATCTTCAACTAAACTAGGCCAGAAGGAACTAGGGAGAGAACAATTTCAAGGTACATTTATAAAATAAAATAACCATCCTTGGTAAATGACTGAACAATGAAGAAGAGAGTAAACTGAGAATAAGTCTGTGCTTTTGACTTTTGTAATTTAGATAATGTAATTTAGGTAATCATTTGGATAATGATTCCCGTAACTAGATATTATCCTAATGTAAATATATTTAAGAAATATATACTCTACCAGTAGGGAACTAATATTCACCAAGGAACTTAAGACTCTAAAGTCACATTCTACAGTATAAGCAAAGCCTCAAAAACTCCAAAAGATCTTTGACAGTCTACACACAAAGCCTCAGGAGGTGATAGACTATCCTGAACCTCAATACTATTTGTCCGTAAAAAAGTATTTTCTTCAAAATAATGAGAAATAAATTCAGGAAACCAGATGATCAGCTCTATTGTTTCTCCTAGCCAGCTGACCATGATCAAAAGAAATAAAAACAGAAGCATCCACCTCCTTCCCAAACCATCAAAATACATTTGTATGGTTGCTTTGTAGCTATGAAACATCATCGTACAAATGCACACTTTCAAATCATTAATTATGACTGTCATCTTAGTCCTACTCTCACACCCTGAATTAGATTGTTGAATTCTATGTATTGCTCACAATAGGTTTCTCCACATCACAGTCATTGAAATAGGATTTTCTTACCAGAAGATCTCATTAGAATCACATTCTCTGGTAAATTCCTTCAAAATAAAATCACTCCTTAAATCAGAGTGTGATGAGATTAAGGAGGAAGACAATTATTAGAACAAAAATAAACTGGATGAAGTCCCGTGAAGTTTGAAGATGATAGAGGGATACTGCATTGGTTGAAAAGGATCCTCTTACTCTGCCCTGCAGCGATTCCCATGTCCTTGCCATGCCAGCTCAGGTGGAGTACATGATGGAAATACGAACACTGACAACAACCTCAGCTAACATTGACTGATTCTTAGAATGCGGCAGGCACTAACTAAACATGTCTACAGTAGTAGGTTAACTTAATCCTATAGACGCATACTACTTTCATCTCATTTTAAATATGAGAAAACCAAGGCTAAGAGAGGTCAAGTTACTTGCTCCAAGTCATCTATTTAATGAGTGGTAGAACTGGGATTTGGTCCCTTGGTGTGGGAATTAAAGTCTGCATATTTAAGCCTATCTTATCTCTTGATGTGTCACCAGGTAGTGTGGGTATATAGAAATGAATGTACACAGTGAAGTCATATAGCTTCAAAAGATCCTAGTACTTTTGCAGAAAAAAATTAAATATTATCAAATGTTTCTATGAACTCAGGGCATAATGAAGGTGACTGACATGTTTGTATTTATATTTAAAACTCAGCTAACTTATATAATCTTTTATAATTTAGCAGGAGTTTAAATTGTGTAAATTGGAAACTCAGTTCTTGTTCTGACCACAGGGTATGCAGGATGGTGGAGTGGGTTTGAGAATAGATTCTGGAGTTCATTGCTTGGCTAGAACCCCAGCTCTGCCATGCTCTTGCTGTGTGGCTCTAGCAAGTTAATAAACCTCTCTGTCACTCATCTTCTTCCTCTCTAAAACAGCCATAATAGCACTTATCACAAAGGTTGTTTTGATGATTAAATAGTATGTAAAGCACTTAAGGAGTAAGTGGCATGTAATAAGCACAGAACATGCAATGTTGTTCGATGGATATATATCAACAGTCCTAGTGCATAAGAATCACTTACCCTCATTAACTTGAAGTGCCTATTTCAGAAAATCTGTGAACCTCAACTAATATATCACAGTGGGTGTTCAATAAATGTTTGCAAATGGTGATACATATACCCATAACCTGCCCATCATTATTAATGTGTGGCTACAAATTTCAGAATAATTACTGTTCGAAATATTATTTTAATAACAATGCACCTGAGGGTGCTGTCATATAAGGAGAAGGAAAAATTAAAGAATCTAATAAAAGATTTGGTGCTTTCCATAAACATATCACATATTCAGGAATTTAGTGAAGATAAAGGTCATAAACAAGATAGGTCAAAAAATTTTCAATGCTGCAGGATGTTTTCCATGGGTGAATAAAATAGTAGATTTTCTGTACCAAAGAATCTGCCTTTTATCACTCAGCGCTGAGGGGCATTCTGGGTGGAGGTGTTTTCGGGGCATCTTGTCTACTTCTTGATCCAAGTGTTGCAATTCTGATTTTACTCAAACTACTCAGAATTTACTATCACCACACCACTCAGAACTTTACCATTTTCATACTTGCTCTAAATGCCTTAATGAGTTTTCAAGACTGCTTACTTACTGTTCTGCTCATACCTCTTACAATATGCATCAATAAACACAAACTCGCTAGGGAAAGTCAAATTTTACTCTTGACCTTCAGGAATGCACTTTAATACAAAATCCAAGGATAATTTTAT